TACTGGACATACTAATATAGAAGATTGATCAAAAAGCGGTTAATCATCGAAGTGACCCATTGACAAGAGGATAATCAGCTTAAGCACACCGCAAGGTATGATAATTATCTTCAAAAGCTGCAAGACAAGATAGTTAACATCCTATACTTATTACTAGTAGGAACTATTTGTTGAAACCTTGCAGCCTTGCATGCCTGTAGCGCGGAGGAAATACGAAATCCGAACAGTTGAAAGGATAGGATGCTATTAAACAAGCCTAGCGCAAGATTAAGGTAAGAGCTCTGAAAAAACCGATGGAATCAGAAGACCCAAGCTCTGCGTGACAAATGCAGAAATATATGAGGAGAGAACGAACCATTATTGTTTCATTGCACTGACTCAGTGGTATGGTGATAAAGACAAAGCTACATCTATGGCTATTCAAATGAACAACTAGATGAAGATGAAAGTCTCGAGAATGATATCGATCTCCGACAGAATGCGTGAACTAATAACGTATCACACGCCATTCTTCGGGGAACTCAGAAAACCATCAAACACCTGAAAGCTAACAGAGAGATCAAGGACACTGACTAAAAAAGTTATAATTACTGAACATCACCAACTGCATTCTAAGACTGGGTCACTTCTCACAATGCTGGATTGATGCAAAGGACATATTCTATCAGAACTACCGTCTCATCATTTCTTTTCTTCTTTATAGAAATTTATCAGAGAAAACTCTACTGAGTTACAAGCACTTAGAATAGTGGAGCACATTACCACGCATTCGATTTGGAAAGCTATCTATCAGGACCACCTTAAGGACCAGTTTAGACAATAGACAATAGATTTATTCGTGACAAAAAAAAACTTTAGTCTTAACAACCGTGAAAGTTAGACTTAGGTCTACTTGAGAAATATACTATAAATGATGAAAATGTAAAAAATTTTGAGAGGACCTAAATCTAGAGATTACAAAACATAAAGTTGATGGGACTGTCAGTCAACTTGATTATACAGAACAATAAACATCGCACTCAAAATCAACTATAACGCATCAATTAGAAGTTAAAACGAAGTCAGTTTTTGATACATCAGAATTCATAAAGTCATTAACACTATAAGATACCTTGATGAATAAATATCCCTTGAATCGTTTAACTAGTAGTTCCCTCACGTCAACAGGCAGCCTGTTGTAAAATGCAGCGTAGCCTTCCACGACCTTCGAAACCTTAAAAACTGTAAATTCAGGTCATTTTGCGTTCTTGTGTCATAATGGTGTTGCTCCATCTACTCTACCAAATTCTTCCGAGTAATTACGGGCATAAATCAATTTAATGCCCCGGTAGCGTTAAGACATTTAGTTTTTTTAAAAGTTGCCTTGCATCATCACGATAACCAACCTGAGCGACAACCCTGACTGCTCTCCACCGCAGGCCAAAAACCCTATCAGCATCACTAGAGTGTCCCCAGGCAAGCAGCCCATATACACATACCGAGTGAACCAGAGGATAATAAGCAGTAAGACATACATCTTGTTCAGAATCCTTGGACAGGCTCCGCAGCACAAAGATTCCAGGAGCCACCCTCTTAGAAATGATGTCAACATGATTCTCAAAAGTGAGTTTAGGGTCCAAAGTGACTTCCAGAAAACCCATCTGCTAGGGATTGTCGGCCACCACATGCTACCTAAGCTAGAGTTAGTCGGTTGGATGTAAACCAGTCACCCACATTCGCTCTCTCGGTACATCACACTCGCCAGATCGCAACAGGAAACTGATGTCGTCCACGTATCAGGTAACTTCCCCTGGTTGCAATGACAATGATAGGTCATTAACATATACAAGAAAGAGCAGAGGTCCTAAAATTGAGCCCGGGGGCTGAAACGGAGTAGCCTGTCGCCTCTCTGTAAGATAACCTCGAAACAACTGGCAACTCCATGGCTCCACCCTATACGATTCAAGTTTCTTCAAGAGGATGTCATGGGAGAGATCACAAAACGCCTGCCTTGAAGCCCTGGATTATGCCCTCACACACCCTGTTTAAGGCTTTTATAGTAGATTTTTCCATCTTAAAGCCAAACTGCTCACCCACGAGTATACCATATGATTCGAGGTAATCACATAGCAGGTTTTAAGAAGACCTCAAAAATCTTCGACAGAATAGGGATCAATGAGATAGGCCTTCAGTTGTCGGACAAAGTTGGATCACGCTTTTTAAAAATCGGTACAGTCTTGCTTATTTTGAAAGCATACGGGTATACTTACTCCCATCATCAGGGGACAGTCATCTAGTTCAGCTGTCGATCAACTCATAGGGTCGGTGTTAGGACCACACCTATCTCATTAACACCTACGACATCCCAAAGACTGTAGACGATTGTGCCATACTAGCGCAGAACTGATGAATGAAGACTCCAGAATAAAATAGACCTCGTCTACCAATGGTGCATCAACTAGAAGATCAATATAACAGAAAACAATCACAGCTGGTAAATAAAACTCGGGAAGTCTTATGGATTATAGCCTGGCTTACAAACAAATACTCAGAAGAAAAAACTAAATATTCAAAATCACCTTAACACCATAAATGGAGGAGCATTATTACATCAATCACTTGGGAAAATGCCCCACTCTAAGGATACACGAGGAGATTTATTTTTAATTGTTAGACGAGAATCCAATTCCTGCACAAAAAGCAAAGTGAAAAACAACCCTAAATTAAACAAGACAAATTCCTAGCATTTCAAATTAAGTAAATTTATAAACTACCGTAATAAAAGAAATGTGAAAATCCGGCTCCTTTTGTCGTTGAAAATTTGTTTTCCATTACGGCTCGCAAAGAAATGAGCATATTCTCTTCTCGTTTCCTACTCCGGGACCCGGAGCCGCAGCGCTATTTCTCCGGAGAGAATTCGAATGCAAAGCTACTCTATTACTGTCAAGATTAATTCAAATCTACCGGAATTTTTCGGGTCGCGAGATAAAGCACGAACATTGTAATTGCATGCCGGGGTTGCCACTTTGAAAACTCATTTTTGTGACAAAATATAAATAAATATTTATTGCCTTCTCGCCTAAAACCGACAAGGAGCAGATGGAAAAAGTAATATTGCCATCAAAGGGGGAGAGAATGTTGAAAGGTTTTACTTTAGACTTGGTGTTTTATGGACTCGGTTTTACTTGCTTGAAAAAGTTGTAATCAAAAATGTGGAAAAATAATGCATCAGTATTATAGCGAATATTATCTTTGTTTAAAGACTCGTAGATTTTACTATCTGTTCTACTGTAAACCCCAAATGATAAACATTATCCCGGAATCGATTTTTCAAAATCATTATTTTCCAGGAAGATGAAATGTAAAATTTATGACCAAATAGAAAGCATCTAAAACGGTTAAGCATATAAACCCCTTTTATTGCATGGCGTAATAGAACATGGCCTTTTAGGATTAGCAATAAAGGATAGTGCACTTTTATTATATGGGGATATTTAAGAAAAATTCAGGTCAACAGACAACTCGGACCTCAGACAGAATCAAACGATTTATTAGGACAACAATAGAAAAGCTTTTTTAGTAAACTGGATTTGTTCATGAAGCCCTGGAGATACTAACTTTGTAAGTTTTTACCAAGTGGGACTTACAAGCCCGCTAAGCCAAAACACGCTTACTTGACAATAGATGTTTAGCTTTTTTTATTAATAATATTTAACTTTTTGTTGCTAGTTATAATTTTCGAGTGCATTCTATGTTTCATTAAATTTATCTCGTTTTTCAGCTTGTAATCGAGTTTGACAGAAAAAAAAAAGGAAAACAAGCAAATTTCGTAATGGTGCCGAATACACACAATTCTCCTAAGGGCTTTATTTTCTTTACGTAAACGGTAAACAGACAAAATATACCAAGGCAATATTTGGATTGTTAGGGGAGCTTATACACGATACCTAATACGGAGAATTTTGTATTTTGCCGGAAGATTTTTAAATTAAAAGAGGAATTTATTTTAGAATTTCCTAGGAATATACTGAGGAAAACCACCTATTTCAAATATTATTTCTTCAAATCTTATATATTTTTTAAAATGTTTACTATAGAAAAGCAAATGGTAAATGTTGCAACCATATATTGGGGGCGCGCCACAGAAAGGTACAGAAAGGTACCGAAGGGTAGAGAGAGGAAAATGAGAGACTGGAGAACAGGCTAAGTGTCCGCCATTGTTCATTATTCAATTTTTATTTTGTATTAAACTGATTGTCCAATCCAATTTCTGATTAGTTTGTATATCATAAGGAGAATTCACAGGTCAGTCAATTATGTACTGTCTTTTGTGCTGGGATTTTAATTTTTGTTGATCGGAACGTGCATAACGGCCTTGTTGAATCTACTAACACTTTCCTACCCTGGCGTGCGAATATCCTAGCAAACAAATTGAAAAATCAATCTAAAGATATTGACTCAAAATAACAACTATAGCTGAGTAGCCTTTCGCACAGGGACCTCAGTACCTGCCGGTGAAATTGGCTAACTAGCCAAAAACTCTTCAGTATTGAATATAGGTAGTGTTGATTGAATGTAGTGTGTGGAATTGAAATTTTAGCACGAGGACAGGGGTGGTACCTTATTTAAATTATTATTGACTCACAATTATTTATTGAAACGACACAGTATGTTTTATTTTTTGAGGATTGTAAATCGAGGGTTTCTCTGCCGTGCTCTTTCCCCTCGTGAGTTCCAGGTCGCAAACGGTACGATTTTCTTTAAAAATAAATTAGATGTTTCACAAATTTTTTGTTTATTTTACACATCACAACATCCCTTTAATTTCCCTAATTTTGCTATTGTCCGGCGCATTTCAAGTAAATAAATTTGAATAGGTTTCCACGACATAGGTTCTATTTCTTTTTCATTTTCGTTTTTCAGAAGATTTGTTAAAAGAGAGATAATAAAAATTCAAACAGTAGGAATTCACATACGATATTAATGAAACTGTTTCCAGGGAAGATCTATCTTACCTTTACTAGCTCCGTCAGGTCCTTTTAAAATTGTACATTCCTCGATAGTACCGAACGGTGCAAATAATTGTCTGACATCTTCTTCAGTTTGTTGCTTACTTAGCATGCCCACAAAAAGTTTGCGATCTGCGTGGAGAAAAGAAAAAATATTTTTAGTTAAAATTGTCACAAAATTTGTATTACATTAATCTAACGTATGTGCAGCACCACCTAACAACGAGGCTACGACGTGTGATTATAGCAATAATTTAGCCTATTCATAAAGATTTTTTAACAAATAAAATACTTGACAGGGTCGTTGGCTAGTCCTCCTAACTTTGATGTTAATTACTTTCGCTCGCTCTCCAGGTGCGCAGCTATAGCAAAATATAATATACCTACGTTTTCATAGCGGAATAGATGATATTAATGTAAAGGGAGGATATTCCAGGGATAAAGGCAAGAAAGGGCCCTAATGCACACACCACAGGGAGAGACTAAAATAATTGGATCAAAATCAGAGCTAAATCATTGCGACTAGGCCTTACGAATGCTTGATGTTAGTTTCGGATGTAATTTTGGGTTCTTAATTTAAGACCCCGCCCGTGGCCCAAAATTAATTTCGAAGACCCTTCAATATTGAAAGCCTGATGAGCTCCTAAAGGTAGGTAACGTTTTGGGCTTAGATATTAAATCAGGAACTTATGAAAAAGAAGAAAAAAAAAAAGACTGCAAATGTCCTAGAATTTACAATGGGGACAGGAATGAATTAATTCGGGTCAAGAAAGCAAGAGGAATGAATATATTTGATAAAAACCAAATTTTTTATATCCTTCGTGAGATGGTGCTTAGACCATCATTTTACAAAAGAAATCGAAAATGATATACAACGGCGCCTATTGTTTTTCAATTATTTACAATAGGATCCTCCATCCGACAAATAAAAATCTGCCTCTCATAGTCCCTCAATATTTTAAATTTCATTAATAGTAATTATTATTATTTTACAAATGATAAATCTCAATTTACAAAAGCGTATTAAATTCGAAATGTTTTGTATTTGAAAAGCATTTACTCTCGCAAAATATGCCTCAACGAACATTTTGCGAACTTAATAACAGATTATTAATTCGCTCTACATGCCTATGCAAATTTTCCATGGGGGCTTTTATCTTTTCGTTTTCATCGGCGTGCGCGCGCTCTTTGTAAAGTAAGTGTAAAATTAAGCGTTATCTCTACATCAAACACTAGTTCAGAAGAGAGAATTCCGGGTAAAAAGAGATATTAGAGGGCCGGGAGATTTAATATTGAAAGTCAAAGGACAATGGGGGAACGGAATGATTTTTACTTTTGATCGGATGAATTTGACGCTGATAACTGGAACGGAGTCAATTTGGAAAATATATTAAATCTTCCACACATAAAAAACCTTTTAGGAAAAGTACCAACTCGAAACTGGAGAGTGTGGAAATTGAATATTTTATTTCCCTGAATTGTGTGCTGCTTGATTTCTAGATTCCCCTCGAATGTATTAACTAATAAAAAATCCCAACTAATCAGTCCAAAGTCCTCTCTCAGAGTGTAATCCTAGATTTTGTAGACAAGAAAGTGGCTTTGTCCTGGATTTCGTGGAGGGATAATCACAAACGTCGATAACCGCTTTTAATACAGGATAAAAGCTTTTTGTTAGTCCTCCAGCCAAAGCCGTTCGGGGCACATTGGGCTGAAAGACAAAAAAACTTCTTTAAATCAGGACTGGGGCCCAGGGACCTGCTACTATCACTAATGCAAATTTGATCGTCAAATTGATTTTGGCCCATATATAACTTTTAGGGACGAATTTTGAATTTATTCAAGGGATATAACGGTTTTTGTTTGGATCCTGAATATAAAACAAACTAGAGAAAATTTTGAAGCTCAATTATTGTGAAAAATATCGAGCTAATAACCAATGAATATGAAATGCATTACGTTTTTCATAGCTTGTTCATTTACGATACACATTTGATCGTTTGCGATCTTGGCCGGAGCAAAATTATAAGAAAAATATAATATAAACAAATAAAAAGACGGGGTGCCGTCCTAACATACAATACAACGTCTAGACATTAACATCGACACGAGCTTTTTGACCATAGCTGCACATGAACAACGCCACTACAGTTACACAGAAAAGTTTTGGTGGACAGTTAAAACAGAACCAACAGACTTTTATTGACCAGCTTGACAGTAACCAAATTTTAATTATGTGATCCAATAAAAGCCTGACTTTGGTACTGATTGAGATAATCAAAAAAATTGAAAATCACCAAATCTTTCGTGCGATTAAATGACAATAAAAAAAATTAAATAAAAATCTAGTCTCTAAACGCACGACAACACTGTCACAAGGTCACAACAGAGGACTGGACTTGGTCTTACGTGACCGGGTTCCAGGCTATTTGGTTCGGGGTGTGTACGTGTTCTCGAGGATGAGCAGCTCGGTAGAGGGGGGAGGAAGAGCACTAGCTTTTCGATGCCTCGTTACCCCCGAAACCCCCTTTCTTTACTTCCACCAGACACTGCCGCCGCTTCCTCTTGGTAGCGTCATGGCGAGCTCTGGAATCAGAATATGCATGCCAACTATGCCAACTTCCGGTCGTTTTTATTTGGTTTACAATAATGCACCTGGTCAGGAATGTTGGTATTTATTTTATGAGACTAGCCTTAAATATTTCACCATTAATTCAAAGGAATATCTCATAAAATAATTACTTATATATTTTGATAGATACGCTTGGTGAAAAAAATTGTTAGTAAAAGCAAAAAAATTGAGACTTAGTGGTTAAAGACGCATATGCTTCCAATATGGCCTCAAGACTGGGACTGTAACAAATAGTGATCAACATGTCTAGCGCCAAACATTGAAAATTGAACTTTAGTAGTCGAAATTAAGAAAGCAACGACAGTTGCGTCCAAATCAATTTACCATATTCTCAGTTTAAGGTGAACTTGAAATAAGACGAATAGAATATACTCTATACTCTAACTTTATTACTTTTGATCGACGACATCTGTCGCTAGTTACCTATTTGAAAATGCACATATGAACACACACGAATATTCATCTTTTTGTATGTAACACTTGTGAAAAGAAATTTAAGCGAAAAAGCGGTTTCAAGACTCACATATCAACACACTCGGATATTCATTATTTTGAATGTAGCACTTGTAAAGCAAAATTTAAACGAAAAGACCATTTGACGAGTCACCTAATGACACATTCAGGTATTCATCCTTTCGATACTTGCAAAGCAAAATTTAAAAGAAAAGGCGATTTAAAGATGCACATGTTAACATATTCGGATATTCATCCTTTTGAATGTAACACTTGTGAAGCAAAATTTAAACGAGAAGACCATTTAAAGTCACTTAATGACACACTCGAATATTCATCCTTTTGAATGGGACACTTGGAAAGTATATGTGTTTGAAAATAAAGGATTAAGCCACATTGAAGAGGATAGCTATCAACATCAACGACCTGATAAACCCTTATGGAGTAGTGTTCCGACTCCAACTAAATTGGCATCAAAAGCCTTACTACTATAGAATGGATAGCAACCGCTTAAAACAAGAAGAGATGTAAATGCCTAGGCCACATTAGAGCTACTATATTGCATTGTGAACAGAAGAACACTGGAATTTTGAAATTAATGAAGTTTTGTCGGTTGCCTACAGCAACCGAAAAGCGTGGAAATTGAAAATGAAGAAAAAGTTAAGGAAAATTGGAGGATTAAAAGTTTTGGTCCTGGGCGGAATTCGAACCCGCGTCCTCAGCACTGCAGGTGCTACGCTCTACCCAACTAAGACACCATGACCCTACATATCTTTTCTGATTTTTGTTTGGTGTTGTTAGAGGAGGTTGCGTAGTTCTCCGCTCATTGCCAAACTTCTCAATCCTCCAATAGACCCACACATTTATGGCATCGGTCCCAACTCGAATAAGCTTCTTATTACTATGTAGGTCTCCTCCATGTGTATTGAAACACGCTGCAATAGAATTTTAGCGAGCAGCTCAGAGTCAACATTCCATCTTTGACGAGAATCAGAACAAGTAAAACTACTCCATGGCTTGGTGCCAACTACATATTTACAATGTATACAAATTCCTGTAGAATATAATTGAAAATAATAAAGGATATTCATCCTTTTGAATGTAGCACTTGCAAAGCAAACTTTAAATAAAAAAACCATTTGGAGAGTCACTTAATGACAAATTCAGGTATTCATCCTTTTTAATGTGACACTTGTAAAGCCAAATTTGAAAGAAAAGGCGATTTGAAGATGCACATATCAACACACTCGAATATTCATCTTTTTGTATGTAACACTTATGAAAAAAAATTTTAGCGAAAAAGCGGTTTGAAGACTCACATATCAACACACTCGGATATTCATCCTTTTGAATGTAGCACTTGCAAAGCAAACTTTAAATGAAAAAACCATTTGAAGAATCACTTAATGACAAATTCAGGTATTCATCCTTTTGAATGTGATACTTGTAAATCCAAATTTGAAAGCAAAGGCGATTCAAGGTGCACATATCAACACACTCGAATATTCATCTTTTTGTATGTAACACTTGTGAAAAGAAATGTAAGCGAAAAAGCAGTTTGAAGACTCACATATCAACACACTCGGATATTCATCCTTTTGAATATAGCACTTGCAAAGCAAAATTTAAACGAAAAAACCATTTGAAGAGTCACCTAATGACACATTCAGGTATTCATCCTTTTGAGTGTGGCACGTGCAAAGCAAAATTTAAAAGAAAAGGCGATTTGAAGATGCACATGTAAACACACTCGGATATTCATCCTTTTGAATGTGACACTTGTAGAGTATATGTGTTTGAAAATAAAAGACGACCACGTTGAAAAGGATAGCTGTCAACACCAACGACCTGACTTAAACCCTTATGAAAACATTGACATGCAACTTCAAGAACATCAATAAAGACATTAGTAGTGTTCCACGTCCAACTAAATTGGCATGAGAAGACTTACTATAGAATGGATAGCAATCGCTTAAAACAATAAGAGATGTTAATGCCTGAGCCACGTTAGAGCTCAAGCGAGAAAAACA